GGCTGTGTCATACCGCCCTGTAGAGTTCTGTTAAAAGAAGAAATGTAACCATACGTAGTTCAGGCTACATAAATCGTGCTCTCCAGAAATGTATACTGGAGTATGTTTTAACAATGAGCCTATGTTGCAACAAAAATACCCATGGCTACTGAAATTACATTGAGGTGTTATAAATCAGTCTATGCAAAAAAGTTTAACATTGCTGCCTGTAATCCACAGCTTTAAAAAATAGTCAAGCACAAGGTTCCTGTTGTTAATTTTGCATATGTATTTTACTCCCAGATTGCCAGTAACCATCAAATTTTTTGGCATTGACGTATTGTGAATTTTCAAAGATCAAGTTTAAGTAAAAAAAATCTTGTTTCATGTTTTACTGAAAGAAAATAAAAAAGGTCCTCTCTTGTCCAGAGGCCCTATACTGTAGTACAGAGCAGATTATATGCAAATAGAATAGAACACAATAGAATAGAATAGAATAGAATAGAATAGAATAGAATAGAATAGAATAGAATAGAATAGAATAGAATATCACTGCTATTATAGAGTGTGTCTGTCATGAGTCAGATGATTTTAATTGAGTTGTGATATAAGCAAACCTTTATTGGCTTTCCTTATTAAATGGGATAAGAGCTATTCTATTTGGTCCACCCCTTTTTAATAGCATTTTTATGGAGTGTTTTTGTGACACACAACTTTGAAAGGTTGTGTGTCAATAATTCACTGCAAAGAGCCAGATTACTGGCATGAAACTTAACAGGTGTGTAAGTCATGCAATTTACAAAAATGACCAATAAAAGTTCATTATTGATACTATTCTGGCTGATTTGCATGTTTATTCTGATCGGGAGACATTTATGTTTATGTTAGTGGGATAGTACAGTAGGCTATGTGTGTGTCAAACATTTTGGTGAAGTACATTTGTTTGGGTTAGTTATATATTTGAAAGAAAGAGAAAATATGGACTTAAACTACAGAAAATGCCTTGCAGCAGTTGTTTTCTATCCCATTAGATCGCACTTTTTTGAATGATCAGTCCAGGAGGTGGTGCTGATCAACAACAGTTTTAGTTTAAAGACTTTTAAAGCAAATAAAACAGATTAAAACTGACGTCTCAAAGCTTTCCAAATGTGACTGTTTATATGCATCGAGCTCTTAGCATTCTACGCATCAAAGAGCTAACAGCAAAATGTTATTTATGAGTGAACTATGCCTTTAAGTGTTCATAAAGATCCTATTTTGCCCTCAGCTTCTCTTTACTTTCTCTGTTCTTTCATTTTTTTCTCTCTTTTATTGTAAGTTTCTGGCATTAGGTCGTCATTTAAAAGGCAGTGGAGGTCTTAACCTCGCCTTATTTTACACTCTGTTAATGGCGTCAAGAGGCTATGACCTCTCTGATATGTGTCTTAGGAATGAAATGCAGGGAACTGAGGTGTACAAATGGGTTACTATACTATAGTAATACTAATCAGGAGAGATGAGGGTTTCAATTAATGTTCTGCTGCGTATTAACAGGGGTCCCATAGTCAAGTATCAAGACGGTTGAGATATTTTTCAAGCTTTAAATGAAAAATTTGACTTAAGAAGTGATGCTGAAAATGCTAATTTTGCCACTGCAGGAATCAATGAAGTATTATTTCTATACTCTGAAATAAAGGTACAAGATCAGTAGGGGTGGTACCTTTTTAAAAGATACAATCTGTACTTTACAGCTGCTCATTAATACCATTAGGGTACACTTTTGTACCATTAAGGTACTATGAGGTAGAGATTTGTACTTTTTTTAGATTTTAAATATATATATATATATATATATATATATATATATATATATATATATATATATATATATATATATATATATATATATATATATATATATATATATATTTTTTTTTTTTTTTTTTTGGCAAATAAACTGGGATTAAAATATCAGTTCCAACTCTCTGTGATTTTTATGTTTCATACATTTGTTTTTAAAACATAGCCTGTTTGTAATGACCTGTTGGCATTTCTGTGTAAAGTTTGCATGTCCTCCCTGCATTCGCGTGGGTTTCCTCCAGGTGCTCTGGTTTCCCCCACAGTCCAAAGACATGTGGGATAGGTGAATTGGGTAAGCTAAAATTGTCCTTAGTGTATATGTGTGAATGAGAATGTATGTGTGTTTCCCAAAGATGGGTTGCAGCTGGAAGGGCATATGCTTCGTAAAATATATGCTGGATAAGTTGGTGGTTCATTCTGCTGTGGCGACCTCTGATTAATAAAGGGACTAAGCCGAAAAGAAAATAAATACATGAATGAATAATATTTCACAATATTCAATTTTTTTACTGTATTTTTTTATCAAATAAATACAGTTATGGTGAACATAATTAAACCTACAGTATCTGGTTTTTTTTTTCAGAATAAATGAAAGATAGTTGGTATTTTTTTTTATTTTACAATTTTGAGTTTTTCTTATTGTTCAGCCAAAAAATGTCAGCATTTTTAGATTAAAGCTTATAATTGAATGGGAAAAAAAAGTTGAATATGTAAGTTACAAACTCAGGCTTCATCTTAAATATCTGAATTGTTAATCTAAAAAAGTGACCTGCAGAATTCTCAGAATAGCATTGCTTTTGGCAAATTTAAATCTTGCAAATCTGACTTTTCCCCTCACAATTGTAAAACAATAAATCAATAAGTGATCTATTTTTTATTCAGTCATACAATAATTAAAACATTACGGTCTAACAATTCTATGAAAACCATCAACATTTTAAGGAAAAAATGCAGAAATTTAAAATGTAAATATTTTACTCCTTTTTCAAAATTTAAGATTAGTCTTTTGTGTCTCCAGAATATGTATGCGAAGTTTTAGCTCAAAACAGCCTTCAGATTGTTTATTATAGCTTTTAGAATATTGGATTTTTCTGCTTTAAATACTATGCAGCTGTTTTTCTTGCCTGTGCCTTTAATGCTAGTTCTCCTCGCCCACCGTTCCCACGTGCCTGTCAGAGTGTGCCTCAATCTCCATCTCGGCTTTGTCAGATAAACAGCAAAGTGACAGACATAAAAGAAGCAGATCTCACGTATTGTTTGTCAAAAATACTGGAGTAAGAACTTTCCCAATGATTATTTAATATATTTGTTGTGGAGTTGCAACGATGAAACACACACAGTGTCTTTACAAAGTTCACACACACAGACACACCCACACAGTGGACACACACACACAGCATGTGCATTTAACTTTGCACTGTTTTTACTAGGCAAATGTAAAAGGATAAAAGTTAATATCCACTGCTGTATGGATATCAGTTATGTTAATTTATCAAATATACACTGGATTGAAGCATCTTCTTTTAAAATTGTACTGACATGCGGCTGTTGTGATAAAGTATAGACAGTAAAATCACTGTAATTTATTAAAAACATGCACTGTTTTAAAAATATTTTAAACTTGTAAAACTGACTCTGGCAAAGCAGTGGCGCAGTAGGTAGTGCTGTCGCCTCACAGCAAAAAGGTTGCTGGGTCGCTGGTTTGAGCCTCGGCTCAGTTGGCATTTCTGTGTGGAGTTTGCATGTTCTCCCTGCGTTCGCGTGGGTTTCCTCCAGGTGCTCCGGTTTCCCGCACTGTTCAAAGACATGCAGTACAGGTGAATTGGGTAGGCTAACTTTTCCATAGTGTATGTGTGTGTGTGTGTGTGTGTGTGTGTGTGTGTGTGTGTGTGTGTGTGTGTGTGTGTGTGTGTGTGTGTGTGTGTGTGGATGTTTCCCAGAGATGGGTTGCGGCTGGAAGGGCATCCGCTGCGTAAAAACTTGCTGGATAAGTTGGCGGTTCATTCTGCTGTGGCGACCCCGGATTAATAAAGGGACTAAGCCGACAAGAAAATGAATGAATGAATGACACTGACTCTTGATCAGATTTGATGATGAATGATGATCACAGAGAGCCGGAAAAATCTTTTAATCCCAGTTGCTTTGAGTACGTCCTATCTTGATAATATGATTATATGCGTTACTATGGAGAAATGTTAAAAAGTGGGTTCAGTGGGTAGGGAAACTGCACTCCTACGTCACATTGCAGTGGGCCTCAAAATGGGAGCGATTTAGATCCTATTTTAATGTCAGGAAATTCAAAATAGGAGACTTATTGGCTTTATCACTCCCATATGACTAAGGACACACTATTCCTACACACAGTTCTGTCCAAACAGCTCCCAAAAAATGATTTTTATCATAGATGCTCTTTAAAATGATTGTTTTTATAATTTATGGTAGAAACAGGCTTCCATAAATAAGTGTCTTTTTAAAAAAAAAACATGAAAAAAAATATATGATTTTTACTGGGCCAAAACTTTTGAATGGTATTGTTGATTTTGAGGTTATGACTGACTCAAACATTTGCAATTAAAATGTAATCTACATATCCCTCTTTGTGAGTGCAAACTTAAATCCCTCAGCCTGGAACAAAACATAAACATCACATTTTTTAAGACATAGCACCTGATGAATCTTTAATAGAGAGGCTGATTTTAAAGTATACATGCAAAACATATTAATAATACCATTAGAATGGAGTAATACAACTGCCTTCTCTGTTGAAAGATTTATCCTTTTTTCCCATCTTGTCAGGATTATTTCAACATGGTAAGTGTTTTACATTCAAATTAAAGTAGAAGAACAGTGCGTGAGGTGATTACCCACCAGATCTGAAATCTTACAGCTACAAATACAACTTAAAACAAATAAAGTTTGTTTATAGTTTGCACACACACACACACACACACACACACACACACACACACACACACACACACACACACACACACACACACACACACACACGCACACAAATAAGCTATTGAGCAAAAATAATAGCTTGTGCTTTTCTGTTATTATGCTCCACAGACACCAATCAAGCATTATGTGCATTATTTTGCATGTTTTATGCCAACTAAAGAAAACAAATCAATACTTCTTGTGCAAATAATTTTTTTTCTTTTGTTTTTGTTTTGCAGATCATGTGGTTTGTGAGGAAGAGTTTAAATATGCTATGTTGGCCCTGAACTGTGTGTGTCCTGCCACCTCTACCCTGATCACACTGTTGATTCACTCCTCTAGAGGACAGTGAGTATACACACTCTCACACTCCTAATATCCAGAGCATTCTCTGTCTCTGTTAAAAAAACATTTATCATGCAGATGGAATGTGAAGTGTTAGTGCTTGTCCTTTTTTCAGGACTCTTTCATTTTTTGGTTTCTGAAGTATGTTTTTTTTTTTTTTTTTTTTTGATAGGGATTTTGAAGAGTTTTTTTTTAAAGCAAAATCACACAATTCTGGGCTCTATTTAACAATCTAGGTGCAGAGTCTAAAGAGTCTAAAGCGCATGGCGAATAAGCATTAAGGGCGTGTCTGAATCCACTTTTGCTATTTTAAGGATGGAAAAACACGGTCTGCGTCGCAGTGCATGGTCTAACAGAGTTATGCTAATACTCTTAATAAATTAAGGGTGTGCCTTGAGAATAAACTAATCAGAGTCTCATCTCCAATTCCCTTTAAGAGTCAATTGTGTCTTGTCATGGCACATTTGCTATTTACATGAGGGACTTTCTTAGTGTAAAAACTGAACACTTCACTAGTGAAAAGAACTGTTAAACAGACCATCTGCAGTGCAAGGATAAATAATAAGCCTCCTCTATTCTGCCTTTTTATTTTCTCTTACTCTCTTTTGTGGATAAGGAAATGGTGTTGTGTGCCCTCCACCGTAGATATCATTACCCTACATAATTAATTTTGTTTGTTAAGCACAAAAATTTATTTTAAAACAATTTTTAAATTCAGTTTTAATTTCCAGCAAATGAAAAAAATGAACAATAATAACGAAGTGTGGTCAAAAACTGAGTTATATCACAAATGCTATGCCCCACATGGTCCAAAACCTGAAAGGTGGAAAAATCTAAGCCTGTTTTTAATAAAAAAAAAAATATATATAAGTATGCATTTAGCAATGATTACGTGTTTAAGGTGCACAACTAACATGCTCTGCACTGAACTATAGACCTGCTTTCAGCTGGTCTATTACACGGTCTATTTAAGTTCCTCAAAATAGCAGCTTTCTAGACTGGAACACCCATGAATCCACATACTGGTGCAAATGGACTTGTTATTAAACAATGTGGTGCAAAATGGGCAAATTAGTGTTGCGCTGGTCTGATCATGACACATGACACATCTTGCGCCTTATTGCGCTGGGTGTTTGATAGGGCCCTCTTACTTTATTGTTTATGTTTTATTGTCTCTGGATCCTCCGATTCCCCCACAGTCCAAAGATATGTGCTATAGGTGAACTAAATAAACTAAATCGGTCGTAGTGTATGAGTGCATGTATGAATGCAAGAGTGCATGGGTTTTTCCCAGTACAGGGCATTCACTGCGTAAAAAAATATGTTGAAATAGTTGACAGTTCATTCCGCTGTGGAGAACCCTGATAAATAAGGGACTAAGCAGAAGGAGAATAAGGAAAATAAATAAATAGAGCATTTATAACGGTCATTAAAAAAAATCATTAGAAAATGACTATGTAAAGTATTTTGAATCCCATCAATTTAAACAGTAAATTTTTTTTTATGTAAATTAAAAAAAGGTTTATTCCACTTAATAAAAAAAATAAAATAAAATTGTATAGTCTAAAAATAAACAGCCTAAACCTGTCTGAAGACATGTCTCCAAACAACGAGCCTAAATGACTACACATTAATTTTAAATTAAGCATAAATCACATAACTTTATAGAGTTGAAGTCAGAATTTTTAGCCCCCCTTTGATTTTTTTTTTTTTCCTTTTAAATAATTCCCAAGTGATGTTTGACAGGGCAAGGACATTTTTACATATTTTTCTGTAAAATATTTACTCTGTAAAAAGTCGTTGTTGTTTTATATTGGCTAGATTAAAAGCAGTTTTTATTTGCAGAGATATATATATATATATATATATATATATATGTGGGTTTAGTCCCTTTATTAATCCGGGGTCGCCACAGCGGAATGAACTACCAACTTATCCAGCAAGTTTTTACTCAGCGGATGCCCTTCCAGCCGCAACCCACACAAGCATTCACGGGAAGCATCCACACACACATTCATACACTACGGACAATTTAGCCTACCCAGTTCACCTGTACCACATGTCTTTGGACTGTGGGGAAAACCAGAGCACCCAGAGGAAACCCAAGGGAAGAACATGCAAACTCTACACAGAAACGCCAACTGAGCCAAGGTTCGAACCTGCGACCCAGCAACCCAGTGACCTTCTTGCTGTGAGGCGACAGCACTACCTACTGCGCCACTGCCTTGCCTCAATATATTTATATATATATATATATATATATATATATTTTTTTTTTTTTTCTTTTTTTTTCTGTAAAATATTTACTTTTATATTTGTTTTAGTTTGGCTAGATTAAAAGCAGTTTTTATTCGCTTCCATATATATATATATAAATATATAGGAAAAAATATTTTGGCTGGAATATTCAAAAATATTTTAAAATGTAAGAACTGCTTGATTCAATGTAATAGCAACCTTGTTCATTTATTCATTCATTCATTTATCGATTCATTCATCCTTTTCTTTCTTTACTTATTTGTTTTTTTATTTATCTCATTGGCTACAGAACCAACCATTATTACTGTTACATCCTTGCCGAGTTAATCTAATTATAATCTAAATACTTAGTGAAACCTTTAAATTGCATTTAAATAATAGCTAGTAAAAATATAATGCACTGCCATCATGACAAAGTCAAAATAAATTAGTCATTAGGAATTTGTTTTTGTTTTTTTACTTCTCTGTTTAAGGAGGGTTAATCAACTGTAAATTATCATTCTCAAACCATGATTATAACTAAAAGCATTCTTGATGACAAATAAGAGAATTTTAGACTAGTTGTTTACCCTGCTCGGCCTATCCCAAACCCTTATTTACAAATTCATTATGTTATGTAGCCTGTATATTTTTTGTGTGTGTTTATAAATTTATCTCTCTCTCTTTACACTTTGTTTTAGTAACTTATATGTATCTTAATGTCACTATTCATGATTTATTGCAGTAAATTTTCATTCATATGTATGATAAGCATCATTTACTAGACTAGATGAAGAACGAATAATCTCTGACCCATCAGCATGTGTTTAATTTTTTTTTTTTTTTTTTTTCCTCAATCAGAACAGCATCTTCAGAAGCCTTCAGGCAGCGAGCGGGAGCCTTCCAGCCCCTCAACAGGTCAGGGCTAATGACTGTAAAATATTGATGCATACACATTGATACACACAGCGGCAAAGATACCATAAACTGTGAATGTATCTTTGTTCTTGTGTCTTCACCTCCGTCTCCGTCACACACCTCCTCCACTCCCTCTGCTTCTCACCTCCTCTACATGCACATGGATGTCAGACAAACATCAAGCGCGTTACATTTTTTCTGCCTATTTTTAAGATATAGTGTTTTCCCAAGCTGTGAAAACATTTGAAATATTTCAAAGGATGAGTTCACCCAAAATATTACATTCTGTCATTATTTTTCCACACTTTCATGTAGTATAAAACACAATAAGCTCCAAGAGGCTAAGGTTTACACTGAATTTAAAACAGCGAAGGGGCATTCTAAAGCATAATATGGAGTGGAATATGTAAAACCCCCTAAAGTTGTTTTAAATTCAACTTAAACCACAACTTAAATCATCATCACATGGCTAATTGCTTTTATAAAATGGTTTTTGCATATGTACCGTAATGTAGGGGTCACTGAACTTGTTCCTGTTTTTTTTTTTTTTTTTTCTTTGCACATTTCACTAAATTCTTTGTGAGTGTTTTTGGCTCATTACCAAGAGTGAAATGGTCATAAGTGTGTGTATGTAGAATTATATTTTCACTTTCATTGAAAAAACCTACATACACACAGTACCTTCTAAATTTGTACAAGAAAGAGGTGGACCATACAGATGTCACTACTTCAAAATGTTCTCTCTGGCACCAGCAGCTTTAAACCATAGATTTTCAGTTCTGCCTTTTCACAATACTAGATAGGACAGTAGGCTAATGTATGTGTACCTTATATGATGTGATGTGCTTAATTAAAAATATAATTTTGTTTGTTTTGGTTTTCTTTTACATTATACTGTATGTTTGTGCGGTACAGCTAAATTTAAAGACCTTGATTTTTAAGATGCCCTTGTCTTTCCATTTGAAAGGAAAATTATTATTTAACCTTAGAGGGAATTCAAGACTATTACAAATTGGAAACAAATACATATCCAGAATTTTAAAGTTGTTTGTGAAGTATTTTACAGCAGCTCTGAACACAATCAAGCTCAAAAAATCTAGTTTAAGGAGTGGAACTATCCATTTTATAATTGTTATTTATAATAATAACAGCCAATTAGAACTGCTTTAAAACGGATTTATAATAAACAGAATACTATTTTATGTTATTGTGAGTTCTAATGTAGTTAAATTAAACCCATGTTGTTTAATATTAATTTATTACAAGCCAGAGGGCATTGTTAGGCACAACATGGAAAAGAGTGCCTAAAATTCCTTAGCTGTTCTAAACTCACTATAAACCACAGCTCCACGTGGTTTATTGTTATGTATATACTGTATTTATGTGTATTTCATATAAGCAGCAAAAAACACAGCAAAGCAAATAAAACGCATGATATTTTCCCTCAAACCTGTTAAGCACAAACCACGCCCCTACGTGAAAACCCATACCTTGCAGCTGTGACTCACGCCTGTGGCTCGATTTCATTGGTCCAGCTATATCACAATGCCAACAAACACAAACATTTTTTTTTTCAATACAAGACCTAAAATACGAAAGATTATGAAATTGTATGAAATAAAGATTATGATTAAGATTATGAAAATGTATGAAATAAAGCGTAATACAAACAATCTACAGCTTATACAAAAAGCAACCCAGGTTCATTCTGAAAACATTCTGGAGACCGTGAAATACGTCCCGTGAGGTACTTAATTTAGCAGTTTTTTTTTTTTTTTTAGCCACAAGATCCACAAGATGCTGCTGTGTGCACTTTTTCGTATTTCAAATTTCTGTTGTGAGTGTATTAACCCACCAGAGGCCGCTGTTGACCGACTGTCTGCCTGACTGACTGAATAAGTGGATAACTGACTGGCCGGCAGACCAATCAACTGACCCCTCTCCTCCTTCCCTAAACCCAACCAGTTTTATTGATTGACCTGGCCACCCACTTACCTCCCTAAACCCAACCGACGGTTTACAAAAGCCGTCCAGAAAAAGAAAAGCCCTCGTCTGATTTTTACCACGTTTTTGGATTTTACCGCTTTCTCACCCTGTTATTCACACATTCATTTTTATTTTTTGGATTCTGTTTTTGTCTAACCTTATTTCTGGAACTATGTTTTTGTCTAACCTTATTTCTGTAAACATGCACACAACAGCATATTAACAATGAGAAAACTTTACTTTTTCCGGCAAAAAAAAAACACAAACATATTTATTTATTTATTTATTTTTTTTTTTAAATGATAATTGATTATGACAATATCTGGTATACATTAAGAGAAGCAGGATAGGCAAGTATATAATTTGTTGTCAAAAGTAAAAAATAAAATTAACTAAAGAGTTACAACAATTGCAAATGCTTAACGGTATGTATTAAATATGGTGTCAAATGTAAAGAAAATTTTTTTATACACATACGTTTATATATATAAACGTTTATGTTTATGTTGTAGTATTTTACCACAGTTTAGAATGCGGTTCAACCACACTCAGAATTAAGAACTGTATCTATCTGTTTTAAAATGTCCTGTGATCACCCCCCCCCCCCCTTAAAAAAGACTTGTTCTCATCTTCCAAAGAGTTTTTAGGAGGGGTTTTGATACTTTTAATGAAAACTAAGACATTTCTTTCTTTCCATTAGTCGTACACAAAAGTCCTGTTTGTTTGTAAATAAATGCCTAAAATAAATCTGTTCATCATATAAAGCTCTCATGTCTCCTCAAAGGACTTGTGTGAAACTGCTTGATTCATATAGATTACTTTTATGATGAACTTTTTGAAGCTTTAAAGTAATGGTGGAATGGACTTTTCAGTGGATGGACAGAAGTCTGACAGGTTTCAAAATATCCTCATTTGTTTTTCAAAGACGAGCAAAAGTCTTCTGAAAGTCAACATAAAGGTAAGTGATGATGACAGATTTTTTTTTTTTTTGGGTGAACTCTACCTTTAATCTATCCGAGAACTGTGGGAACTGTGAGAACTGGTAACACTGTGACTCAGGTTAGCACTGTTGCTTTACAACAAGAAGGTCACTGGTTGGAGTCCCAGCTGGTTCAGTTGGCATTTCTGTGTGGAGTTTGCATGTTTCCCCCTTGGCGTGGGTTTTTTCCGGGTGCTCCAGTTTCCCCCCACTGTATAGAGACATACACTATAGGTGAACTAGATGAACTAAATTGGCTGTAATGTGTGAGTGTGTGTGTGTATGAGTGAATGAGTGTGTATGGTTGCTTCCCTGTACTAGGTTGTGGCTGGAAGGGCATCCACAGGGTAAGACATATGCTAGAATAGTTGGCGGTTCATTCGGCTGTGGAGACCTCTGATAAATCAGAGACTAAGCCGAAGGAAAATGAATGAATGAATGCTTTTCATGTTTTTCTGTCTGTCTGTCACAGGGAAGGTGGTGCCAGCTCAGTCGATCAATGGCAGCGCACCTACCGGCGCTGCGCAGCCAATGAGGTGCACCACATCCGACTGGAGGAGAGCAAGTTTTTTGGAGAATATCAGGGAAAGAGTTTCACCTTTGCCTCCTTTCATGCACATAAGAAGTAAGTCTTTGCTGCAGTGAGTTCCAAGTCAGTAACACTCATGCATAATCTAATTTAACAAAGTGCAATATGTGCCTGGATCAACATCAACCAATCAGATTTAAGAGACAGGTTTACAGTTTGTCAATTTTAAGCTTTACAGAGTTATTTTTATGATTTTAGGAATATCTTAAAGTAGGGGTAAAGGAATATTTCAGCACTAGAATTTACTTCATAATTTACTCACATTCAAGCCATTTTCGTTGAACACAGTTGGAGTAGTTTATCCTGGCCTTACCGTGCTGTTTAATCCAACACAATCTCACAACAATTCGACATTTTTTTTTATTAAGTAGCTTCTATATGCACAGCTAGTGTTTATTCCCATACTGATAAACTTCTGGTGAATGATTAATGTGACTTTCCATTTTATACAGTTAATTTTACAGCATTGATGATATAATGTATTTAAAATATATTCAGTTAAATGGACTTCAGCGTTAATGTAGTTGCTCAAGCGTAAAACAAGATGAAAAGCCGTTTACACGTACATAGCCATCAGGATTAGCAGGCTAGCGCAAAAGCTCCATTGAATATACTGGGGTAAAATAAATGTTCATATTTTAATGACATGGCATGGAAAAAATGTAATTGAATGCAGTACTTGTACATTCTGAGACCCACTTTATAAATCAGCCACTTTTGAAAGCTTCAAAATAAAAGCCACTGTCTCCTCCAAAAGTGCATAAATCTGTCATCAAACCAACCTAATCACCACCAACCACCAAAGTTAAAGCATGTCTTATGAGGTAGATAGATTTTTTAAATGATCTTGATGACTTTAATCACTGACTTCTCGTGGCATGTTATGTCCAACTCATATGACGCATGTTGTAAGATACATGGTTAGATGCATGTAAGAAATGCAGGGTTCTAGATTATTAATTTGTGTTTTCCCAACACAAATTGCTTAAATGATCTTAACAAAATTAGATTAAAGAGTGACGCAGTGGTGCAGTAGGTAGTGCTGTCACCTCACAGCGAGAAGGTCACTGCTTCAATCATCCGCTGGCTCATTTGGCTTTTCTTTGTGAAGTTAGCATGTTTTGCCTGTGTTCGCGTGGGTTTCCTCGGGGTGCTCCAGTTTCCCCCACAAAGACGTCCAAAGAAGTCCAAAGACGTGGTACAGGTGAATTGGTGAATTGGGTGAATTGGGTAAATTATTAGAAGTGTATGTGTGTTTCCCAGAGATGGGTTGCAGCTGGAAGGGCATCTGCAGCATAAAACATATGCTAAGATAAGATAAGTTGGCGGTTCATTCCACTGTGGCGAGCCCAGATTAATAAAGGTACTAAGCCGAAAAGAAAATGAATGAATAATTGAAAATGAATGAATAATTGAAACAAGTTTCCCAAAACAAATTCCCAGAATTGTGTTAAGCTCATGCTACCAAGTAGTTTGAACAAGCACCGAAAATATATATTTTTAAGTGCACATAGCATTATAAGAGTGATATACTGTATAATAATACACAGTAACGTCAAGCCAACTAGTTTTCAGCCAGTCAGAGAATTGCAGTTTATATTAAATTTAGGCTTAAAGTTAGGGTTATGTGCTTCTACTGTTCATCATTGTAATCCAACCATTAATCCCCCCTGATTTTCAGACAAATTTACAGTTAGCTTTAGGTTTGGGATTAGGTATGGATTATATTTTCGAGCAAGAATGATGTTTCAGGATCAACATAACTGTTAATCCAGCATCGCATCCTACCTTGCATCCTACCTCCCCCCATTGTATTGGTCAATCACACAACATGCATTCAATTACTGTCAAAGATTGGATTTAATAATTTAAATATATTAAAATATTTTTGTTTCAAAAACACATTGATCCACTTCTTGAGACATGGTATATCTTTGTTCAAGTGTGGGTTGGTTTTACTATGGATTTATGCACTTTTTGGAAGCTTCAAAGTGAAAGTCTCTATATCTAACACCATTATACATCATAAAAAGCTCCAGGATAAAGTGTCGCCGCTTGCCTTTGACAACAAAACTCGCTATGTTCTGAGAACTAGTCAGAAAACAGTAATCAAATCATATGTTTTCAGTGTAGCAGTGCGCTGATTTGTCGACTTTTATGAGGAGACTGTTTTGTTTTGCTTTCGATTTAGATTTTAAAAGATGGAGTTTGATGAACTAGATGAGCCAGTGAATAGCAAATGGAAACGTCCCTTACCTCAAAACTCATTATAAGAAAAAGAAAACACAGTGTACAGTCGGAAGTGTAGCATGCATTCATAATCATTTTTTGCGCAGCGACGCTACTTTGAATGAGTCTGATTTAATTTACATTAAACGACAATACTGTTTAACAAAAGACGAAGATAAGATGCCGTTCTTTTATCCAACATGGATGCTATGAGAATAAGCATTAAGACCTCAAGTATGGTGAGAATGAATGGTTGACAGCTTCTAAAATTGTTTGAAAGGCACATCCTTTTTCCCAGTAGGTCTACATTGTGTTTTATTTGCTAATTTAAGATTTAAAAAAAAAAAGATAAGATAAGGTATAAAACTATACATTATTTATATTACTTCATAATACCTATACATCTGATAAGCTTTTTTTGTTAATGGACAATGCACAGATATTGATGTTTCACAGTGTTTTTACACTACATTATTTAAGTCAAGCTTGGTTTAAAATGTTCTACTTAGATTAAATCTAAATCCCAAATATCAGCAATGACAACATATTTTTAAGATTTAATTAATGTCAGTTTTAATGTTATTGATTATTGCACTTACTTGACATTTCATTCATTCATTTTCCTTTTGCTTTGTCTCTGGTTTATCAGGGGCTACCCCAGTGGAATAAACTGTCACTTACTTGACATATTTATGTATTTTTAATTGTAACGTCATTTCTCACTGCATCTTTAGTAATTTTTCAACTAGTTACACTGTCTTGTTCCAATAGGGGAATTTGGAGGTTTTTGCAAAAAATAAATAAATAAATAAAGTAACTATTCCTTTAAATCATAGGTCTCAAACTCAGTTCCTGGAGGGTCGCAGCTCTGCACAGTTTTGCTCCAACCCTAATCAAACGCAGGTGATCTAACTAATCAAGCTTATCAAAACTACTAGAGACTATTAAGCAGGTGTGAGTTGGAGGTAATTGGAGCTGAACTATGCAGAGCTCTGGCCCTCCAGGAAGTAAGTTTGAGATGACTGCTTTAAATATAGTTATCAAAAATGCTACTATAGCCATGTGTCTGAATCTGCATAACACTGTTTGCATCTGTGCTTCTGCAGATACGGTGTGTGTCTGATTGGGGTGCGCAGGATGGACACCGCCAATATCCTCCTGAACCCTGGACCTTGTCACATTATGGGAGCCTCTGACACCTGTTTCTACATCAACATCTCCAAAGAGGAAAATTCAGCATTTGTCCGTGGCCACAGAGAGCCGGTGCGAGGCCCCGGGGGTGATTCCAGGGGGGTCCCACAGACCATCTATCATGGCCTCACTCGCCTGCCAGTGCACAGCATCATAGCCAGCATGGGTTAGTAAGCCAACTAAAATCTTTCAATCTCAAATAGTCAATATACAGATTTTTGCAAATAACAATCTATCGATAAAAATCACATACAGGCTGTAAAAAACCTGTAAAAAGTTTGTTTACTTAACGAAAGTGAGTAAAGTGAGAAAAATAACAAGTTTACTTTACTTTATTCACTTTAAGTGAATAAACCTGTTGTAACTTAAAACTTATCAATTGACTTAAAGGTGTTTAAGTGTTTGACTCTTCTGAAGAATAACAATACCATAGTCTGTTTGCAGATATTTAAGAAACAAGCTAAGTGTACATTCTTGTTTTCTGAATAACAATGCTAAAATCAGATATTCCGCTTTGAAAATGTACTTGCTGGAACGCTGTTTTTATTATGCTTTTTTTAACCCACTCACTGCCACTTTAACTAATTATATTTTAGCACCCCGAGTTGCTTTGTTGGAAAACTGTGTATTTGATTCATTCAGTCATGACGGCTCTCGAAGGATGAGCCCGTGACTGAAATGTGACCTCCGGTAGACAGTAGCAAACTAGTAGAGTTCCACATGACGTGGTTATTAAATTGCAAATAATATAAATATTGCGAATGTAAACATTAGGTGAGCAGGTTACATTGTAACCCTGTGTCATAACAACATGCTACTGTACGTGATTAGATTTGCAAGGATAAGCAATGTGGCTGTTTTTACCAGACGAAACACTACAGAAATGTAAATACAGCCATTCAGAAGCACAGATAGTGCACTCACTCATGAAACGGTAAGGTTTATAATGTAATTAATACATATTAAACCTCTTTAACATTAATAATTCCAAATGCTGAATCACTGATATGTGTTGGTTTACTATCTGCTGCTGCGTTCAGTATATGGCAATACATGTCATGTAAAATGGCATTCAAACTCACATAATTAGCATTTAACACTGAAAAAAGCACATGAGGTGTACCTGACATGATCATTGTCAATTTTCTGTTGTTCAACTGCAAGAAATAGAAGCTGTTTATAGTATATAATTTTATGGAGTCGGTTAGGAAAAAAAACTCCTTTTAATAGGGAGAATATTCCTTCTATTGCGTGCCATTGCTTTTATAGAAAAAAAATGCCTTTAAGTCAACCTTTAGGCTTGTTTGTCAGACTCGCCCCTGTTGGTCCTCAATCTGGCAACCTGCATTTGCTTTAGTTTTGTTTTCTCTGTTTGTCGCGGGGGCAGTTCAGGTCATTTTGGAAGGGCACTTTCTATCCAAGACTAAAAAGGGCATGTGCACTTGCACAGGTTGAGCCCTTTGTGTGCACCTTTAATTTTTATATGATGCACATAGTTCATTTACTTAATTATTTTAAGGAAATCTGGTGGCACGGTGGTGCATTGGGCTGCGCTGTCACCACACAGCAAGAAGGTTGCTGGTTGGAGCCTTGGCTGGGTGCTCCGGTTTTCCCCACAAGTCCAAAGACAAGCGATGGGTTGCAGCCGGAAGGGCATCTGCTGTGTAAAACATATGCTGGATAAGTTGGCGGTTATTCTACTGTGGTGACCCCTGATTAATAATGACACTAAGCCGAAAAGAAAAGAAAAGTAATGAATACATTTTAAGGAAATGGGTTTACTCGCTTCTTTTAATAAAGTCAATTAATTGCTTTTAAAGCAATGGATTTACTCACTTTTAAAATCAATTGAATCACTAATTAAATCAATTAATTAAATTAACTAATCTTTTTTTACAGTGATTAGTCAACATGAAATGAAAAGCTGTTTTCTAGATGAAATATTGATCTTTTGCTAAGCAAGTATGCTGCATCTTTGCATGTCTGTAGTGATGTGTATGCTGCACTTGTTCAATCCTGTGTTGTGTTGAAGCTCTGCCCTTCACCCAAACATGTAAATCTGCCTACACCTAACTGACTGACTACATTACTTACTTTCTTTGATCAATTGATTGATTTGGATGTGCATTGCATTGTGTAACTGCAGCTGCTGCTGTTACATTATGGCTTTAGAATGTCAAACATTCACAGTTTTAATTCTGAAATCATAGTGCAAGAGTGCCCAAACTACATCCTGGAGGGTCGGTGTCCTGCAAATTTTAGTTCCACCCTCGACAAACACACCTGGGCTAGCTAATCAAGTCTTAGGCTTTTAAGAAACATCCTGGCGTGCAGGTGTATTAAGGCAAGTTGAAGCCAAAATCTGCAGGACACTGGCTCACCAGGACTGAATTTGGATACATGCCATAGTTTTTTTTTTTTTGTTTGTTTTTTTTACCGACAAAAACTGGACAAACTGCAATAAATTATTTTCTTCCTTAGATATTTTGTCTTGTTTCTAGGCCAAATGTCTATAATTTGTTTATTTTAAGCTTGCTTAATTTTGACATTATTTCTTAAAACAAGACAACAAGTTTTGCTTGTCTAAAAAATGCTGCCTAATTTAAGGATATTTTGATATTTGCACTAAAAATAAGAAACAAAATTAAGTTAAAAAAAAAAAACATTTATATATATATATATATATATATATATATATATATATATATATATATATATATATATATATATATATATATATCTACAGTTGAATTTGTTTTTCTTTTCCAGGAAAGTCTTATTTGTTTTATTTCAGCTAGATTAAAAGCAGTTAAAAAAAAAAAAAAAAAAACATTTTAAGGTCAAAATTATTAGCCCCTATAAGCTATATATACATACATATTATATATTATAAATGTGCAAAAGTATTGTACTTCTACTATCCTAAACAGACATGTGATTAGGACATAATTTTCATTTTATTAAAAAAAAAACAAATCGAATATATAAATTACAGTAAGCCTGTCTGAATTAAATTGTAATGTATTAGCTTATTATGATGTATTCCGTGGAGCTCATTGTCTAGAATATTAATAACTCTTGCTCTTTACTGTGGATGTAAGATGGATGTAGACAGAAAATGAGAAAAATGGGGTTTAAATTGACTGTAAAAATCCCTTGGGGCTTTTGTTATAAAAAAATAAATAAATAAAAAATCTCCAATTTCAGTGCAACATCGCCATCTAGTGAAAAACACTGGAACTCATAAAAAACTCAGAGGTTTGAGTAAAGCACGATAGGATTGCCTTCACTGATTGGCTTCCTATGGAATTCGATGGGTACCATTCTTCAAAATATCCTCTATTGTGTTGAACAGAAGAAAGAAACTTATAAATGTTTATAAACCACATGAAGGAGACAAAATGATGAAGTATTTTTTAAGAAAACTTTAAGATACATTTAAACATCTATAATGACAAACGTGAATATTTTACTTACTGATTTGCTTAAATTTCGATGCTATATTTAGACACAATGCTAAATTTAAAACTTCCCATTTTCTCTCAGGTAACTTTTTGACATTTAAGCTGTGCACAATTGATATTATATGTTTCATCATTTCAAATATTTTATCATTTAAAACAGTTATTTTGTAACTAATTCATAGCAATCAATAACATAATAATGTCATTAAACCATTTCACATTGTGTGTATTCTGTGAATTATTTTGGATTTAACATTAGCATCTAATAGCTTCGTTAATTGTACAGCAAATACAATATAATCAGAAAATAACAATGCTCTCCCACACTGCTCCTGATTTCTGCCATTGGTATTAGATTGTTAAAGCTGGAAGTCTTCACGCTGAAATCGTTTTTAGTCCTTCAGCAATATTTCGAACTGCTGTAGTTAATTCATTACCTTACAAATACACCCAAATCCCAAAGTGTCTGTGTTATGCTCAACAAATTACTTGGATTTAATGGAAAGGAACAGAATGTGACTGTCCCCATAATTTTTTCTTTGTGTTTTCATAATCATTGGAAACAGAGGCAGATTTAGTGATTTTGGCACCCTAAGCAATTTCATTCCTGAGGCTGAGCAGTTCTAATATGCACCCCCTTTTTTAATTAACTTTTTTTCTTTCTTTCTGAAATAAAAGTAACACATTCTGGAAGTAATAATCAGTTACAAGTAAAGCAAATAATAATCTTACTTTTCTAAGTAACGTGAGTTACTTTTTAGTTTATTAAAACAGAAATCCCTCCGTAATTTTCAGTTGGTCCATAACTTATTTTAGCCCGTATCATCACCTAAACCCCTTCTTCTTATCATCACCCCTGTTCTGCAGCAGCTTCACTGGTTACCAGTTTATTTTTTAATTGATTTTAAAATCTTTTTGTTAACATTCAAACCCATCCACAATTTTGCCCCTTCATATTTGTCTGCCCTCATCCACATTGCTGCTCCCTCTCGCACCCTGACATCTTCTTGTCTGTTCCCTCTGCTTGTCTATTGTCCATGGGCAATAGAGCATTCAGCTGCTCTGCTCCTCGGCTTTGGAGCTCACTACCATCTACCATCAGAAATATTGACTTCATCACATTATACAATCAAAACTCAAAACCCACTTGTTTAAGATGGCTTTTAATAGTTACCTGTACCAACACGATTGCTGTATATATTTATAATATTTTTCTTGTTGTTTTGTTGATCTTGTTTTATTGTGCGATGTCCTTGAGTTGCCAGAAAGGCACCTTTAAATAAAATGTATTATTTTTATTAATGTGTTCATTATTTTGAACGCATTGAAGAAAAGGAAAAGGGAGTTGTCTCAATGAACAGTTGTCTCATTAAACTTTTAATAATCTGTATATACAGCATGTATAGCTCTGGAGCTCAGATAGTTCTTAGATAACATTATCCTATATTTTATGCATTTCTTTTAAAGGTAAATATAGGTGTAGGTTGTACAGTGTGTGTTAATTGCAGAGTTCCTCTGTTAAAAAAAAAAAAGTGCTGAAAAAGTAACGCAAAAGTAACTCAAAAGTAACATAATGCATTACTTTCCCGTGAAAAGAAATGTAACTAGTTCCTTTTTCAGGAGGAACTCAATGTTGTTCTGCATTACTTTCAAAAGTAACAATTATGTTAAAATGGTGTTTGTAAGACACTCTACATATAAAATATTATAAAAATATTATATGTTTACATACAGTTGAAGTCAGAATTATTAGACCCCCTTAATTATCAGCCCCCTTGTTTATTTTTTCCCCAATTTCTGTTTAACGGTGAGAAGATTTTTTTCCAACATATTTCTGAAAACATAATTTTAATAACTTATTTCTAATAACTAATTTATTTTATCTTTGCCATGACAATAAATACTATTTTGCTAGATATTTTTTCAAGACACTTCTATACAGCTTAAAGTGACATTTAAAGGCTTAACTAGGGTAATTAGGTTAACTAGGCAGAGTATTTAGACAAGTTATTGTATAATGATGGTTTCTTCTGTAAACTATCAAAAAAATTGCTTAAAGAGGCTAATAATTTTGACCTTAAAATGGGTTTAAAAAAAAAGTAAATTGTTTTTATTCTAGCTGACATTAAACAAATAAGACTTTCTCCAGAAGAAAAAAAATATTATCAGACACACTGTGAAAATTTCCTTAATCTGTTAAACATCATTTAGAAAATATTTAAAAAAGAAAAAAAATTCAAAGGTTGGCTAATAATTCTGCCTTCAATTATATACACTGTAAAATAAAATGTTATAAATAGTTTCCATATGTTGTGATTCGCAAGAGTTTTCCGTTTATTTATGGTTGTGAATTGCCTTATGGGACCTTGATCTCTGCTCTGTTGACTTTTGATGTTGACAATTCAACTGTACAATTTAACAAAATGACTTTTATTGACATTTTAGTAGTGTGAAGTAATATAATGTATGCAAAATAAAATGTAGAAAAATAAATCTGTGAAATAACAGAAAATGTACTGGTATTTTATTACGATGTTTTTGTGCTGTAAAATAAACAATAACACATACAATCTACCACTTTAAACAATTCACAATGGTTACAAAAGTCACTTTTTGAAACTTTTCAAAGTTAAAAGTTGTCGAAAGAGAAATCAAACTCCCATAATGCAATTTAAAAGCATAAATAAATGGGAAAAATAAAAAAGGATACAGAAAACTGCAAATATATTGATATTTTTACTGTGTATATTTATAGGGCTTTATTGGGGCCCCATATCTCTGGGGGTTCTAAACGGTTGGTTACATAGCTGGGGTGTGTTTCCCAAACAACAACACAACTCATGGCTAAACTATCATACAATGCATCGTTTGTAAAAAGAATAATGTAGTGACAAGTGTTTCCCAAAACCGCAACTTCTCTACACAGATCCATCGTTTAAACCACTGCATTTATAACATAAAACACTCATAATGATGCTCTAAATGGGGTAGAGTAACAACTTCTTAAGAGAAAAATCACTATAACCTTTTTTTTTAAACTAATAGTCATCCATTCATTTTCTTTTCGGCTTAGTCCCTTTATTAATCTGGGGTCGCCACAACGAATTGAATCACCAATTTATCCAGCATATGTTTTTACACAGCAGATGCCCTTACAGCTGCAACCACCACTGGGAAATATCCATACACACTCATTCACACACACACATTACAGACAATTTAGCTCACCCAATTCACCTATACCACATGGTTTTGGACCTGTGGGGGAAACCTACATGAACACGGGGAGAACATGCAAACTTCACACACAAATGCCGAGGCTAAACAAGTGCCCTTTTTGCTCTGAGGCGATCTTGCTACCCACTGCACCACCGTTTTGCTGAGCAAATCCTTTTTTTTTTTATCCAATATTAGTTTTAGTAAACACATGCACTTTTTTTTTTTTTTTTTTTTGTATGTCAACTTTGACAGCTTTGACACATTCAAACCACTGCAGAAATCTGCTATAGTAAATATATATTTCTTAATAAGTGGCCTAGGCCAGGGATTCCCAAACTTTTCAGCCTACCTTCCCAAAATAACAATGCCAGTGACTCCGGATCCGCAATATCGGTGGTTATATAGGTGGTTATAAATATATAAACTATCCACACAACAATGCACACATACCAGTAGGTGCAAGTCTATTCAAAATTTAATTTTGAAGAACGCCACTCTGGGACCATCCTACATTCACTTAATATACATTAGTGCTGTAAATGTGTCATAAAGTTTAACCTGGTGCGATAAAATCAATGTGTTATCGTTAATACAAAGTAATCACTCCAGCGGTCACAAAAAATCCAAAAGACTAATGTCATGTTGTTGTTGTTTTTTTTTATTGTAACTAATAACTACTTTTTTTCTGTAGGTCATTGATTAAATATGGTAATTCTAATATTTTAATAAAGTGAATTAGATTTTTGAAAATCACCAAGTGACACCTGGGAACCACTAGGCTACTATAAATTAAAACCATTAATATATAATTTTGTTTTCACAAGCTTTGGAGTTGTAACATAGATTTCGCTTTCCATAGGTCACCTATAGCTTTTGTCATAAGCCACGGCTGCGTTCAAAACGGCATACATGTTTTTAAAGTATCTCTCGTAAGAGAGATTATGTTAATGTTTTTTTTCTTTTTCTTTTTTTTTTCTTTTTGAGTTTAAACGTTGGAACATACTTAATGGAACTTAAGGGTTGGGGGGGTGGGGGGGTGAACTGGGAATAGAACACAGCCAGGAACTATGGTTCTAACTAAAGCTCTGTAGTGAATTTTTGAAAAGCATCATTAGCCAACTAAAATCGCAAGTTCTGTCGTTACAAACATAGTTCGTTAATTTTGTGTTTCTCAAATTCATTGTTCCAATGAACATTCGCAAACTTGTACACTTGCAACTACACCTCTGGAACTGTAGTTAGAAGCATAGTTCCTTGCTGTGTTCTATTCCCAGTTATATGCCCCATGCCCTATTCCTTCACGTTTTAAGTTTAACTTTTCCTTTAAAGTTTAACGTTCCAACATTTAAACTTGGAATGATTAAAATATTAATTAAAGCCATCGCTCTTACTTGTAGTTTGCTTTCAAAGTATTGTTTTATAGTTGAGTTTTAGCGATCTTCATATAACCCTTTCCTTTCGTAGCGCACTTTGAAAACATTTATGCCATTTTGAACGCAGTCATGGCCCATGATGAAAGCTATAATTGATCTATTAATTTATGTTGTGTCTCTAAAGCTTGTAAAAGCTAAAAACATAGCATGCAATAATGCTTTTCATTAAGAGTTGGTTATTTATTAAGTATCTGTACTGTATATGACATGGACCTGTTGGTTACAACATTTCTGCAGTGGTTTGAATATGTCAAATTGTAAATGAAGTCTTTTCAAAAAAATGAAAAGTAAATAAACAATATCCAACGTATAATAATAATAATAATCCTTCTTCTTCTTCTACTTCTTCTTCTTCTTCTTCTTCTTCTTCTTCTTCTTCTTCTTCTTCTTATTATTATTATTATTATTATTATTATTATTATTATTATTATTAAAGTGATTAGTCATTTCCTATAAATTCTAAATATGAAACTTTATTTTTTAATAAATAGCTTAATTATTCATTTTTTATATGAGATTAGAATGTGTTAGCTTTTTGTATGTTATTTTATGTTTTCAAGTATAGTGTTCTAAATTATGTTGGTAAAATAAACATTGGTCCAATATGTGCTATTTACATATATTTCAATTCATATGGAGACGAGTGCATGTTTTTACCAAAACAAATATTGGATTTGTCATTTGTCAAATGTTAGATGTGTCAGCCTTTTTAATTTAATAAATTTGTATTTTTGGAGCCTTGGTGTTGCGGCCTTTGATTGACATTTATTTGCACTTTTTGCGGTTTTGGCTGAGCACCCAATTTAGAGAGATGTGCATGCTTTTGTACAGTTTATTCTTTCATTCATTCACCACCCCGTTTAGAAAATCATCATGACTGTTTTAAATGATGACTAACGTGTTTTAAACAGATCGGCAACAAAGATACTACGGGTTTTGGGAAACACTCATCATTACATTGTTCTTTTCCCAAGCAATGCATCATACTACAGTATGATAGTTCAACCGCGAGTTATGTCTAGGTGTAGTTGTAAACGTACAAGTTTGCAACGCAGTTTACAAATGTTGCTTGGAACTATGGATTTGGGAAACATCAAATCAACGAACTGTTTGTAATGATAGAACTTGCAACCATAGTTGGCTAACGTACTGCTCGCTAATGCACCCCTGATTGTTAGTCTTACTAAAGATCATTTGCACACTGGGAGACGGTATATAATATTTGAAAGCAATGTGGGAGTCCTGGTAGTTTGGGGCCCCTGGACAATTTATGTACAGTATATGTGTGAGTATCAGCTCTGATTTTAACCACACATAATCCAAGCTATTCCATTGTACAGTTGGGAATCACTGCTCCAATAAATCATTCACTAAGAATATTTACATATTAAGAAATTGAATGTAGTCAGTTTTGACTTTGTGTTCATGCCAGGCACGGTGGCGATCGACCTACAGGACTCAAGTGACAGCAGTCCTGAAGGCTCGGGGCCGGCAGCTCTGGGCAGTGGGACGGTGAGCAGAAGTGGCTGCAGGACAGAAGTGAGCGTTTGTAACACGCTATCGCTGCCTGCCGTCAGTGGCTCCGGTGAGGAAAGAAGACACAGCATCGCCCCTGTCCTGGAAGTGGTGGACGGTGTACACAACTCCACGTTTGACCTGCTGGGGGACCAATCTGAGGACGAGGGAGGAGAGGAGGGCAAGGAGGAGGATGGAGGAGAGCAGAAAGGCCAGTGGTGGGGAGCACACTGCGAGTGAGTATCACACCATTAAGGGCCCTCACTTGCTTTCTGTTTCCACCTGGTATTAACATCAGTTTTTGGTATCAGAGATGCATTATAGCAGTGTTTCTCAACCACATCCCTGGAGGAGCACCAGCTCTGCATTTTTCATGTTTTCTTAACCAAACACACCTCATTTAGATCATCAGCAGAGACCTGTAATGGATGTGGCAGATAAAGGAGACATTCAAAACATGCAGTGTTGGTGTTCCTCCTGGAACGTGGTTGAAAAACACTGCATTATAGGGATAGGTGATATAGACTTTAAAGTACACATGAAATAAAATCATGTGTATGTTAGCTCACATTGTTAATTTTGTGGTGAACAATTAATCTGTGCTTCTCATTCATTTAAAAAATGCCCCTTTAATCTGTAATTGAAATCTAAAAATAAATTCAGTTAAATTCTCAGATTATGTCTGTCTAAGGTATTGGGTGTGGTTAACATCCTTAACCACGCCCCTCCAACTGTCAGTGTTGACAGCGCTATGACAACAAATAAAATGGCGAGGAAGTGTCTTAAATAAACTTGAGTTCAGAACAGCCTCTATGCTGAGTGAAACACATCACACATCATTTATGAATTTGACAATTAAAGAGTAAAAAACTTGTCATTTTCGGAGCAATTTAGTAGTTTTATACAAGCCTGGGGTTGATTAACAACAAATATTTATCTGATGCATATCTACATCATTATTAAATATTTATCTCAGGCTTATAGCCAGCCTGGTGAAAGCAATGGTTCTTTTTTTAATCAAAAAGTGGACCGTTTTGCAGTTATTCACCTCATTTTCTACTTAATTATGAGGTTTAAATACTGCAATTTAATGACATTTTAGACACTTTTTTGTTTAAATTGCTTGTCAGATGGTCATCAGAACCAAACTTTTTGATGCACCAAAACATTTCTTTAAAGATTTTGAAAAAAAACTAAAAACTTTAAAATACAAATTTATTACATGATTTATCAATAAAAAAATAGGATTTGTTATTATTTAATTATTATTAAAAATTGTAGCTTATATTTATTTATAAGGCAAACTATCTGGCCAGCGCAATCAATTTTCCTCAGTTAGACATTGGCCATTTAAATAAAACAATTAAACAAATAAATAAAAAATAATAATGAGCAGCTTTACAATTTTTCTTGATTTTTCTCTAGTAAAAATGTTACATTGAAAATTCATAAATAACAACAGCCTGATTAGTATTAAAACTGCTGAGTAACTAAAAAGCTATGAGCATGATGGTAAAAAAAACTGTACATTTCTAGTCAAACTAACCTTCTGCAATCTTATACCAAAAATGGAAATCAGGGCAGTGTTGTTAATAGCTTTAAATGTGAGAGAGCTTAGCTATTATGTGATTGCATTGTATTGTATTGCAATACAAAGCAATTAAGTGTTGATGTTAAATCAAAAGTAATTCACAAATATATAATGATAATCTATAATAAATAAAAGATAATGAAATTATTTAATGACGATAATTATCTATGGTTACAACTGAATTAGTTATAAAATAACTATAAATTGATAAAATATGAAATGATAAAAAAACATGTGATAATAATTGTACCCAGCTTAAATGTAAAAATAAAGTTACCAGAGGTAGAAGGAGAGACAGGGGGAGGGAGAGACAAAGAGAGTAAGTAGGCCTCAAAGAGGCAGAGAAGATAGGAGAGGGGCAGAGCAGGAAAGCACAGAGCAGGAAAAACACAGAGCAAAGTTTGCCAACTATTTTGTCTCTTTCTTGACCATGTGACTAAAGCCCAAATACTGAGACAATCAAACTGACCAATCAACATGTATCTGCCATTGGAGTCAGTATGGACCTTCTTTGGTGAAAAATAGACATGTTTTGCCATATAAACAAATGCAAATAATATTTTAGACTATTTAGACAAACACAAACACAGTCAGAATGTCTTCATTGTCCAAACTTAAGGCTTGAGATTTTAATCTGAAAGCAATATTGCAAAACATGTTGCCTAAAATTGTTAAAATTCATCTTTAGTCATTTACTGACTTAATCGCAGTCTGCATTCACACTCAAATGATGCTGACCATCTTCAAGAACAAATGGCCAGAGCTGGCCAATTACATTTCACACTCCAACAGATTTTATCTAGCTGATTTTTCAGAAGTGACCTTTAACTATTTATTTCAGTAAGTCAAGCCAGTAAAAAAGACCGCAACTTGATGTAGGAGTGTTGTCCCCCCACCCACCGATATTGATTGACAGGCGCACAATACCATATCCTCAGTTTGTTGTTTCATGTCTGCCATTTTAGTGTGTGAGTCAAAGCGATGTCAAGCATTTTTCCTGAAACTTCAGTCATTTGCATTTTCCGTGGTCACAGAAGCTCCCAGTCATCTTAACTAGGTGCAGCTGAAATGTGCGAGTGCGTTGCCTCATGTGTGCATCTCTCCATTGAAAATATCGAACTTGACTTAAGCAGGTCGCACACCAGAAGCGCTGCTCGGCCACGCGAAGCATCGCGCCTCGCAGCGCTATGCATTTTAGAATTTTTCACATAGGTTTCAATCAGAGTACAGATAACGGCGGCGCAAGTCGGCGGCTGTCCTCGGCACCCAGCCATGACTCAGGACACTGATCATAATTCTGCCGCACCCCAGAGCGTTATCTGAATAGTTTCATTTTAAATAACATGCGAATGTGCGTGTCTGGTGTGCCATGTCGTGGCTCTGAGCGGCTTATCCAGTGTGTGACACCCTTTAATTATAGCCTCAGTCAAAGTTTATTCAGTGTGCATGGTTATTAGTCTCAGAGCACAAGCGCGGAACTTTAAACTAGCTCACAGTTGGCTGTAAAACTATACAAAGACACAAATGGATTTGTAGTCTCTGCTTAGTCTGTATCTAAGTCTTACATGTACGGCTGAATGCTGTTCCTCTCACTAATGTTGCTTCTCTCTGTTGCCAAACACAAAGCAAGGGAGCTCTTAGCTCCACCCCCTTGTTAAGTTGGGCCGGAAGTTAAAACTAATTTTTATTTGAAGCAATGACCTGTGCACACGCCCCCAAAATAACACTTTTAAACACATTATATTAAAAAAAAAATCTGAACTGTGTTTGAACCGAAGCTAAACTGGCACACACTCAGAAGAACCATAATATTAATATAAATCTTTAAAAAGGGGTAAAATAGGTGCCCTTTAAACCTGAAACTGAACCTTTTACCTTTTTTGGGGTAACTATACATTTTATTTTGATAACTGCATCTTAGGTGAGTTTAAAAGCTTCTTTCAGACAACTTCAGCTATAATACTGTTCAAAAGTAAAGGGTTATCAATTTCCTGTGAGACATGCATTTGTGTTCTTGTGCTCCTTTCACAGGTGGGTTAAAGGCTACCCACTAAACTCTCCATACATCGGCAGCTCTCCAGCCCTCTGCCACCTTCTGCAGGAGAAAATGCCATTTTGCTGTCTGCGTCTGGATAAAGTGAGTGTCTCCCTTTGTCCTGCTCTCTTATAAAAATCACCCAGTTCACAAAATCACAATAACTACACCTCTCACAGCATGAGATCCTAACAGCAGATAATTTTCAGGCTTGTCATCACATGCCCTATGAAGATGCTCGCTCTTATGGCTTCAAAAACAAACTGATCATCGTATCAGCGGAAAGTGCTGGAAATGGCCTTTATAACTTCATCGTCCCTCTGCGAGCATATTACCGCCCCAGGAAGGAGCTTAACCCCATTGTTTTGTTATTGGAGAACGTGTGAGTATCCTAAAAACAGAAACACTGAGCCTTTAAAGAAAACACTCCACTTTTTAGCCTAGAAAATAGGTTCATTTTACAACTCTCCTACAATTACACTTTTAGCTTAGCATATATCAATGAATAGGATTAGACCATTAGACCAACAGTTTTCTGTTTTTAAATTGTGTACTAACGCTAACAAAAAGTTACCTATACTCTCATTCCAGCCTAATAATCATGAAACTTTGTTGCTGTAACATGGCTACAGTAGGCAAATTGATATTTTGCTGTGCCTGAACTCTATTCAGGCATTGTGCAATAACATTGCTCCTGCTGCAGCCATAACTAAAGAATAGTCAAGCTTTAAAAAGAAAAATTATCAAAACATTTTTGTAATTTTTGATGCTAATGATCTAATCCAATTCATGTATTTATGCTAAGCTAAGCTAAAAATGCACCTGCCAGACCTGAATGGCTGAATGGCTAAATGGTAAAAAAAATGGCTAGAATTGGTAAATCTCAACTGTTTAACTGCATGGGAGTTGTAAAATAAGCAGTTTTACTCATGGCAAAAAAAATAAATGGAGTACTTTAAACAACATCCATTTTGTTTTTCACAGTGCTGACCACTTTTCTGTATCTATCATGATATGCAATCATCGTTTCTGCTGTAACCGAAAACTAATATGGAGAGATTCACCATCATGTAATGCAATCAAATGCAATAAAACTCTTGAGTCATCTTGTTTTTTTCCCTTAGCAGATGTGCAGCTGCAGGCTGAATTAAATTATTTAGATGCCCTAGAGCAGTGAAGCTGTGAGATTTTTATAGACATTGGGATGGTTTCGTACAAATACCTGGAAAAAGACATTCATGATTCAGTTTGCAGCTTTGGTCAAGGCATCACCTCAGATTTTTAACATGCCTTTCTTTCACTAGACCTGAGGCAGACTTCTTGGAGGCCATCTGCTGGTTTCCTATGGTCTTTTACACAGTGGGCTCCATTGACAAGTAAGACTAGTTTTACTTTAAGCTTGTATAATCTCAAACCTAAAATTTTTCAGACACATTCAGCATCTCATAGTTTAGAAAATGGTAATGCAATATGACACAAACTCAGAGTTAAACTCTGAATAAATACGACCCTGGATCATAAAACCAGCCTTATTTTGCACTAAATGGGTAAATTTTTGCAAATAGCCACTGCTTTTTAGTCATTTTGTCATTTTTTGACACCTCAACCTTGTGCTTTCAGTCTGGATAGTCTTTTGCGTTGTGGTGTGACATTTGCTGACACCATGGTAGTTGTGGACAAAGAGAGCTCTATGATTGCAGAGGAGGACTACATGGCTGATGCCAAGACCATTGTTAATGTTCAGACACTCTTCAGGTAGGTTTATCCACATGAATCTTTTTAATGAAGGCGTTTTTGGGCCTTGACACCCCTTTCCTCACTGTTTCTCAAAGGCTTTTTCCAGCTCTCAGTATTATAACCGAACTCACACATCCGGCCAACATGCGATTCATGCAGTTCAAAGTGAAAGACCACTATTCTCTAGCTCTTTCCAAACTGGAGAAGGTGAGACATGAGTACAATAATATATAATCTGCATTCATATTTTATAGTCAGGCCACTTTAAATTGATATTGATACATGTGTTTTTCTTCATAGAAAGAGAGAGAGAGGGGCTCCAACCTAGTGTTCATGTTCAGATTACCGTTTGCGGCTGGAAAGGTGTTTAGTGTCAGTATGTTAGACACTCTGCTTTATCAGGTAACAGGAAAATGTGTTTTAAGGTTGTATTAACTGTTGGATCTTTTTGTATTTCTTTATGAAAACCAGTGACAATATATAGTGAAGACCTTAAAGGGGGGGTGCGCTACGATATCATATTTTAAACTTTAGTTGATGTGTAATGTAGCTTTGTGAACATAAATAACATCTCTAAATGTAAGACATTCAAAGTTCAGTGCAAAGGGAGCCATTGGCTTTTACAAAGTTAGCTTAGCAAAGCCTACAGCAAATAAATTTGGGGACTACAAAAATTACATTCAGGTTAATGATGTCATAAACCCTTCAGGCTACGCACATACACCCCTTACAGCGAAGGGGTCTTGCCAGAGGTACTGTAATGTTATAACAGAGACTCTTCCTGGTGATGTGGAGCTGATCCACGAATCAGTGTCAAAGAATGTGCAGTTTAGTAGTCATTAATTTCCAGTGGAGGCAAATATAAAACTTCCAGGTGTGATTTCTCTCATGCATAGTAATGAAATTTCATTCATAATGACATTAAATCATGTACATTTTGCCTCATTTCAGTTGGAAGTTAAGAAATAAACAGTAAATTCTTCACTTAAGTCAAATGTCTACAAATGTTCTAACAGCCATTGACTAATGTTTAGAATTGCCACTATAGTGTTTTAGGCTCTTATGCTCTTGTCCTTTGACATTTTAGGTGGAAATTAGCAATATTAAAAACACATGCACTTATAGAAGACACTTGAAACTTAAATACATTGTAAAATATAGAAAAATTGTGTTTTGAATCAGTCTTTGTGGATTCTTACAGAAATTGCTATACTATAACACATTACATCAGTGTTAATGGATGTGAAGTAAAAACTACTGACCTTTTTCTTCAATGCAGAAGTGCGCTCGTTTTTGCAATTGTTTTGTACTTCCGATTCAGTCGCCTATGGGAGAAATGACTAGGAATAATAAAAACTATAAATTGACCTACAACCAAGTAATTGTATGACTATACAGACAAAGTAGAATAATAATATGAGAAAAATATCAGTTTGCAACACCAAGTAGCAAAACAAGCTGTTTTCAACGTCTAAAAATCAATGTAAGTTAATGTGAGCGGATGTCTTAGACCAAATGGCTGCACCCACTCTTACATGGGGAATAAGGTTAATATTATATATATATATATATATATATATATATATATATATATATATATATATATATATATATATATATACATATTGAGCCATTACTGTAAATGCAATAGAAATATTATTCTTGTACACAATAAAAGAACCAAAATCTGCTGAAATATTTGTAGCATGATTGAAATACAGCATTTTTTGTGAAGTTCTTATTGTCTAATTTTATCTGTTGTGTGTATTATAGTCTTTTGTGAAGGACTACATGATCTCCATTACCAGACTGCTGCTAGGTCTAGACTCCATGCCTGGATCTGGTTTCCTCTGTGCTGTGAGCAACACAACCCATCACTCAATATATAATGAGACCATTAGACACTTAGACAACTGTATACACATAGTATCTGGACAACTACACTCATGATATTGGTGACAGTAATGAAACTGTTGACACAGATAATGATATTTTCCCGATGTACTTTGTAGATGAAGATTACAGAGGAGGATTTGTGGATTCGTACTTATGGTCGTCTCTACCAAAAGCTGTGCTCATCGACTGGTGACATTCCCATCGGCATCTACCGCACAGAAGCACATAAACTACCCGTCTCAGAGGTACAATACTTGTTGGGAATAAATTGGAGGCTCAAGTGGCAGAGCTGGTACAGATATATCTGCACTTGTGCGAAAGCCCACAGAGGGATTTTAAAGACTCTGAGAATGTCACACACTTGAGAGGTGCCATCTGTTGCGCTGAACATCTGCTACACAAAGTTCAAAATTTTAACGCTATTTAAAAAGTTTAAAACTTAGTTATTAATATTTTAGTCCTATAAACATAAACATGCAATATAATCAGGAAAAAAGACTAGACTTAAACATAGTCCAAAAAATTATATTATTATATTATTATAGAATCTTCTGGACTGTTGCATTGCAGTCGCTTCTCATTTGCATAAAGTAAAACATTTAGAACATGTGTCACGTGTGTCGATGGCCTACATAATGGTGAATTGGCCAGCTCTCCATTGAAAGGAATAGGATTGTGCTGCTTTTTTGCTTTGTCTCTGAATCGGGCTTTTGCTTTTATTTTTTATTTATTTATTTTATTTATTTATTTTTGTGAATGCTGTACAGTATTACATTTGGACAAGTCAAGAAAAAATCTTGTATTTTGTTTAGCTTATCCAGTACTTAATATTTAAATGTGTAAAAGAGTTACAGAATACAAGGTTGTCAAGGATCAAGAACCCAACTCAAGCAAACACTGATCATCATCATGGTGACTTAAAACAAAACATCTAAACCTCAGTCAATCCTAATAAGAACATTTGAAGACACCTTACAGCAGGGGTGCTCAATCCTGAGATCTACAGTTGAAGTCAGAATTATTAGCCTATCTTTGAATTGTTTTTCTTTTTTTTAAATATTACCTAAATGATGTTTAACAGAGCCAGAATTTTTTCACAGTATGTCTAATAATATTATATATATTTTCTTTTTTCTGGAGAAAGTATTATTTGTTTTATTTCAGCTAGAATAAAAGCAGTTTTAAATTTTTTAAAGACCATTTTAAGGACAAAACTATCAGCCGTTAATTTTACCGTTATGACCCACTAAAACAATGTGGTTTTGAAAATGCTAAAGATCATATTATGGTTTATAAATGCTGGTGTTCTACTTCACTGTAGACAGATTGAAATACAGACTTTTGAAAACTGAGGCACAGCTATCCACAATTGTTTTCTGACTGGTCTTCTAGACTAACCCATGATTAGACTATTCTAGACTTCTAGACTAATCCATATGGTAACTCTGTGCTTAGGTATGTGATGTAACCTCCAGCTGGGGTGGGTTTCTGGGACCTGCTTAAAATGTTTATGCAATAATGAAATACATCTGTTTGATCTTCCTCTATTCTTTACAGTAACTTAATTTCTTAATGTTTTCCCAACACAAATCAATTGTGTGGATGCCAGCATTTTTACAATGAATGGTGGTCTCCAATGAGTATATATTTTAAAAAAGTATTCAAATATTTTACTTTCTAACAATTCCACATTATTTTCAAATAAATGCTCCATTGTGTGGCTTGTCTCAGTCTCAGGTGTCCATCACGGTGGAAGACTATGAGGATACACGCGAGCCCCGTGAGCCTCTGCTCTGCCGCTCCGGTCTTCATCGCAACTCAACGTCATCAGAGCCGCCCTCCTCCTCCTCATCCTCACAAGCCATGGACCACCCTCTACTGAGGAGGAAGAGCATGCAGTGGGCACGACGACTAAGTCGTAAGAGTGGACGAGGATCCGGCGGGGCGAAGGGAGTGGGGAGCGCAGCTGAGCGCATCACCCAGCAGAGGCTCAGCCTGTTTCGCCGCTCCGAGAGGCAAGAGCTCAATGCTTTGGTCCGCACACGCATGAAGCACCTGGGGCTCTCACCATCTGGATTCAGTGAGTGTAAATTTGAATTTTGACTTTATTCACCAGCATGGACCATGCCACACTTTGGGCTAGACTGTAATGTAGAGATGAAGGGAGAAAAAAGGGTTAGGGGAATACTGAACAGGAAGGTAGGTCGATCGGGTGTCCTACGATGATGCTGAGAGACTAAGAGTGGGATTATCATCTCTGAAATGTAGTATAATAAATAAGGTTTAATAGAATGATTTGGACCTTCCAATTTAACCTAGGAGGGAAGAGAGGGCTATAAGGACTGTTAATGGGAAGCAAGGAATCCTGGTCTGCCTTAAGTAAGTTTTAGAGAGTAGGTGATTGGTTAAAGAGATAAAGTAAGCAGAACCTGCAGATCGTAGCTTGCGCATATGACAAGTATATATATTTACCCGGTTCCTTAGGCTTCCATAAATAAGAAAAAAAGTAAAATAATAAAATAATAATAATAATGTCAGTATCATTTAATTGATTTTTTGTTTGGCCATTTTAATGGACATTGGGTCAAAACAGATGTACTTTAAAAACAATAAAGACCATTTCAATGTGGTGATATTCTGCTTGTTGTCAAACTATTTTAATAACTGCAACAAGAGGCAAATGAAGCATATTCAAAGGTTAAAACAGCTGCCGTAACATCATATATCAATATGTGGACCTTTCAGGATTCTTGAAAGCTATGGAAATGAAAAAATGTAAAACAGGAAATAAATTTGGACCATTGTTATTGTTTACATAACTCAATATGGTCTATACCAACATGAATGTGTTATTCTATACACCTTTGCTTAAAATATCTTCTAAAGGTTACAAACTTAAAAAAAATTTAACTTAAATTTTGGGGGTTTTGTTTTATAAACTGCACCACTGCACATTATAAGGGATAGACATTCAATAAAAATAGTTCACCTAAAAACAATAGTTCTGTCATCATTTACTCCTTTTACCTTTATTTGGTTTAAACCTTTATGGCTTTCTTTTTACTGTTGCACAAAAAATACGGTATTTAGAAGTAAGCTGAAAACCTGTAAGCATTGACATATATTGACAGCATTAGTTTTTTTCTTCTATGGAAGTACATGATTACAGGTTTTCAGCTCTTCTTTTGTGCTCAACAGAAAAAGAGAAACTCATAAGAAGTTTGGAACTACTTGAGGGTGAGTAAATAAATATTTTGGGGTGAACTATCCTTTTTATCTTTAAACCCACTATAATGACCATACTGAATAACTTACCATTTTACAATTGATTTATAATTTTTTTTTTTAATAAAATCTATTAAATATTGCCAAATATAAAACAAATAATAAATAAATTGAAATAATGAATAAATTGAAAATGTTTCTTCTGAGTTTGAAACAAATTGCTGCCTATTTTCACCATAGTGGATATATATATATATATATATATATATATATTTATTTTTTTTAATTACAACAAACAGATATTTATTGCTGTTTGATTGCATGTGTATCTGCAAGATGGGGCGTAACATGAACGGGTGTAACTTGTAGTAAGTTAGAAAGGTGTAACAGTTATTAAGATCCTATTAAACCACACGTGTCAAACTCAGTTCCTGGAAGGCCACAGCTCTGCACTGTTAGTTCCAACACTAATTAATCACACCTGATCAAACTAATAGATTCATGGTATAGTTATAGATGTTAATAACTGTGATGGCTGGGTTTAGGGTTGTGGAAGGTATACAGACGTTAATAACTGTGATGGTTGGGTTTAGGTGTAGAGTAGACGTAAATTTTCATAACTGATGTACAGCGCCGTCTTGCCGACAACATAGTTTTGACAAGTGGGTTTCAATAACTTTGTTACTTCTCTAACATACAAGTTATGTCCCTGCATGTAACGCCCCTGTCTTACTCTATGATTGGAAGACAGAAGTCTAATATCATGCACAGCAGGCTTTAAATTCAGTTAAATGCCCTAGAACCACAAAAATACAAATAAAATAAAAAATTTAAATGGACGTAGAGTCAGAAAGGGCTATCCATTAATTTAGCAATTGTATTCAATGAAGTGGAATAAAAACAAGCTAATTTTCTTTAGCTGTTTCAAAGTAGGCATACCAAAAATGCGAAAGTTAGCACTGAATCCCTTAGGTGTTTTTATTTTTATACTTTAGTTTGCTAGCTTTGCATAACCTCCACATATTTTTATCATTCTTTTCCGTGATATACAACCAATTGTTTTCTAGATTAGAGCTTCTTCACAATGTCATCAGTAGCTATAAATTGCACAAGCCCTTTATATTTAAATGGCTTCTTACTGTCTAACAGTATTTTAACGTTTAGCTAAGAAATAAAAGTCACTGTATGATATAGTTTCTCTACGTGTTTGTTGTTATTGTTGTGTTCTGAATTTTGCTGTAGTTTTACATTCAGAACTATAGATTTAGAACTATATTGTTTTCATTATCATGCTTTGTGTGAAAGGACCTTTACACTGTAACTAAAACTTAATTTCAACATTGAAAACTATAAAAGATTTTGAGCACCAAATGTTGATGTTTAGAGATATTAAGTTGGTCTAAATTATAGTTTTGTACCCTCTGCTTATGTCAGATGGGATGACAGACCAGGGCAACAGACTGTCCTATATTCTTATCAACCCTTCCCCTGACACACGCCTGGAGCTTCATGATGTCGTGTGAGTATACAAACATTACAAGCATTTAAGCTAAAATTATTATTATTGCTTCTAAGCTTTATAAATATAATGCATATTGTTTGTTGTTATTAATATTACACACAACTGAAAATAATATGACTTATAAATAGTGGTGGTCCATTATCAGTGTTAACGTGTTGCGTTGATGCGAGTCTCTAATCGCGCAATAAAAAATATCATTGTTAATTTATTTTTTAAAGTTGGGTTGGGAGCTGGGTCTTTGTACACAAGCTATGATGACTTTCACCTTGATATTTTACCTCAGATGTATACCTGACCGGTGAGCAGCCTGACAAAAAAGTGCCCTTCTGAATCTAATCAGTAGGATGCCATTCTGGATCTTTCACTTACTTTGAAGACACTACTGACTATGCTTACATGGACATTTGTAAACTAGTAATTTGCCTTAATAGACAATAGTATAATTATAGTGTGAAAAGTCCTATATGATGGTAATGATTTGATTGCGATGTTTACTTAAATAGTGACACGAATATCTGCACACTACACATTTCTTAATTCTATTTCTGTTTAGTTCAGTTATGACTTATGTAGGCCTACCATTTAAAAATCATGTTTAACTAAATAAACAGTTAGTAAGAACAAGTATATCTTATTGAACATCATTTATTTTCATCACCAATCATCATAGTAGAAGTTTCTCAACCAGTTTGTGATGCATTTTGGAAACAGGAGATGAGCCCCTGGTCTAATGCGCCACCTTACTTGAGAAACCTGTTCTCAAAGATTTACTTTTAGTCATTATTTGGGTATTATTTTACATATAATTTATTACATTTTGTAGAATATTAGATATTCTGAATGCCTTCGGCAGAATTCAAATAAGCCATTTTAATTTAAATTAATGTAGATTAATTCCAAGATTACAAGTGAGATTATTCTGGATTTAAAAAAAATGCACATATATATATATATATAAATATATATATATAATGTAACAGATTGTTGTCTACCTGCAGGTATCTGATCAGACCTGATCTTCTGTCACCAGTGCCTAACCAGGCCGGCAGTCGCAAACCCAGCGCAGGGCCAGCAGAAGGACACAGATTCGACACACAGGATAGCACTCACCTATGAACACAATTACCACAGGCCACCAGCACAAGAATCACCTCCTGCACAGAAAAGACATGCACAGATGTGTGTGTTTGTATGTGCATGGAAGGTTGGAACTGTGAGCTGAATCTACACTGTAAAAAGTGATCTTGCTTTTAGTTGCCTTTACTCAAATTCCATGTGCCGAGTGTCAAAACTTAGACTGTTGCAAGAAATTCACTTTTTAAGCTTTCATTGAATCATCTCATAGAGTACACATCATGCCTAAGATAAGATGCAATGATACTTTGCATTAACAAAATTTAGCTGGTTTAAAAAAAATTTGAAGTATTTTAAAATGTTAAAGGGATAGTTCACCCAAAACGGAAAATTCTATTATCACTTACTCAAACTTGACTTGTTACAAAACTTCGAGTTTAATTTAATTTATTTTGAAAAAATGTAACCTTTGACTTTTATAGGAAATACATAAGTAGAAAAAAAATACTATGGAAGTCAGTGGTTACTGATTTCTAACATTTAAAAAAAATATATATTTTTATGTTTAACAGAAAAAGGAAACTTATAAGGGGATTTAAAGACTTGAGTGAGTTTCAAGTTTATTTTGGAGTGAAATATCCCTTTAAAAATTAAATCCCTCTAAATTCAGACCAGCATGCTAAGTTCACTTGTATCAAATTGTAATGTCAGATATTTTTCTTGTTTGTTTTTTGTAAAATTGCATATATTATGAGCATACTATGGTATCTACAAATTGTCTTAAATATACAATTAGGCAGTGACACTTAGATCAAAAATTATATAAGGATTGATTTTTTTTTAATGCTATTAATTTAAGTTTCCAAAATTTCTAAATTTCTTCATTCCACCTCTGTTGTGGCCACTTAATTTTTGTTTTGTTCATTTTTAACATACACTACCTGACAAAATCTTGTCTATCCAAGTTTTAGGAACAACGAACAATAACTTGACTTCTAGTTGATTATTAACATCAGGCGTGGCTTATATAAAAGTCAAAGACTTCTAGATTCCACTTATTTTAACGAAATAAAATATGATCATGCATTAATTCTTAATTATTTAATCAAGACAGTAAGGTCTGCTTTTGCTTAGACAAACATCTTGTAACTCAACATAAATTATGTACAGTGTATAATATAAAGTCATGGTGCAATGGAAAAAGAATTAATATTGTGTATGATTCCCATGAGCTTGGAGGTCTGCACCCATACATTTCTGCAATGACTCTAATAACTTATTAATAAGGTCATCTGGAATGGCAAAGAAAGCGCTTTTGCAGGACTTCCAGAGTTCATCAAGATTCCTTGGATTCATCTTCTATGCCTCCTTCATCTTACCCCAGACATGCTCAATAATGTTCATTTCTGGTGACTGGGCGGGCCAATCCTGGAGTACCTTGTTTTTCATTGCTTACAGAAACTTTGACGTGGAGGCTGAAGTATGGCAAAGAACGCTATTCTGCTCAAGAATTTGCCCTATCCTGTGGTTTATAATGGGCAGCACAAATGTCTTTATACCTCAGGCTGTTGATGCTGCCTTCCAATCTGCAGATCTATCACAAGCACCGATACTGAATGTAACCCCAAACTATGGCTTTTCCCCCCACCAAACTTGACTGATTTCTCTGAGAATCTTGGGTCCATGTGGGCTCCAATAAGTCTTCTGCTGTATTTGTGATGGTTGGGGTGCAAGTCAAGTTATTAAGTGTTGCTTTTTTTACAACTGGAATCAACAACAAGACTTTTGTCAGGTAACATATATATATATATATATATATATATATATACATATACACACACACACACACACACACACACACACACACACACACACACACACACACACACACAGTTGAAGTCAGAATTACTAGCCCCCCTTTGAATTGTTTTTCTTTTTAAAATGTTTCCTAAATGATGTTTAACAAGAAAATTTTCACAGTATGTCTCTCATTTGTTTTATTTCGGCTAGAATAAAAGCAGTTTTTAGTTTAAAAAAAAAAAAAAAAACAGTTTAGGGACAAAATAATTAGCCCCTTTAAGCTAATTTTTTACACAACAAACCATCATTATACAACAACTTGCCCACTTACCCTAACCTGCCTAGTTAACCTAATTAACCTATTGAAGCCTTTAAATATCACTTTAAGCTGTATAGAAGTATCTAGCAAATGTAAAATAAATCCGTTTTTAGAAATAAGCTATTAAAACTATTATGTTTAGAAATGTGTTGGAAAAAATCTTCTCTTCGTTATACAGAAATTGGGGAAAAGATTAAAAGGGGACAAATAATTCATGGGGGCTAATTATACTGACTTTAACTATATATATATATATATATATTTAAAGGAACATACTTTTTACAGTTTTTACTGTCCTGACCAAAAAAATACAAAGCGTAATGTTATCATTTACAACTGTAAATGTGTTTTGTTGGGTAGAAATCAGCAAATGTCAGTAAATTTATTATTCAGAGCATGTACCTTAATGTAAAAGGTTGACACAACCTGTGTCACTGTATAAAACAAAACTTCTAACCAAGGGATGAACATGCATTGTAAAGGCACAAGTCATTTGTAGTTTTTAAAGAATTTGTTTTTTCAGCATGTTCTACACTAAAAGTTCCTCTTGGTAAGCATTCGTTAACATAGAAGTTTACATTAGATACGCTATAAAATGTAAATAAATATACAACTAAAACTCAAAGACAGCTGCATTGCAACAAATTGTTGTTTTGACTATTGAATATGTAGATTCCTTTGTATCAAACATAGATAGAGAACAAATAGGTGTTGAAACTAAATTAAATGAATGGAAAAAAGTCATTGTTGATTCAAATTAGCATCATAAATACTCAAAAAAAACTACTTACAATGACCCAAACTTTTGTACATTTAAGCAACAAATCACTTTTTACAGTGTAACTTTAATCCTTATTTTGTTACTAAAAAAAGGACTAAGGGAAATGCATGGACCTTTGAAAAAACGCATTTACATTTGAGTTTAGCATCAAATTATTGTTGATGCGAGACAGCAGAGGCCACGTAAGTGCATTAACTGATGTAACCTGTATTAGTCTCTGTGCATGTGAATGTACGTTGAATAGCCAGCACTGCCAATCTCGACTTGGATTGCCAAAGGAACACATGTTGCCATTTGTATACACAGGAAAGATATGTTCTCTGTTGCTTGTGCATTCAGTGTCAGTAAGCCGCTCTGAGGACCATGGGATGTTTTTGTCAGGCCATATTAGAAAGGTGGTGCTCGTACGTTTCTTGAATGTTTTCTAACACTCTCATTTCCTGAACTCTCGGGACTTGTCCAAGGCAGACAAAAAAATAAATAAAATAAAAAATTAAATGGACCAAATGAATGATCCAAAATCTTAAACATTCTTATACTGCATTATTATCAGAGGAGGCTTTCAGAAATTAGGCCTCCATGTCTTAAGTGGCATTTTGAAATAATTGTCATCTGATTCTTTCAGTGTGATGGCGTAAGTCTCTGTTTGATGTTTGCTTTGATAAAATCATCTGTTCTGCGATGGGTTTGTTTGTTTTGTTTCCCTTACCATCGAGAAGTCAGTGCTGTTTTATGTAATTTGTTTAATATCCTTTTGCTGGCATGCATGCTAAAGATCATGCATGTGTAGAAGGATTTGTTTTGTCCTGCCATGAAAAAGTACAGAAGTGAGCTAGAAAGTACTGTCCCACTCCTGTCCATAATGCACTATTGCCTTGATTCAGTGCCATTCAAACATATAAGGAACATAATAAAATCTGCCAAATTGATGGTTCGTGTCTTATCATTCAGTGTGTGGGTTCAACAAGGGTTGCCAAAGTATGGTGAGTAAAACAACTCACCCACATTTTTCCCAAAAAGTAGACCATAAATATATTTACCTCCAAAACAGGAGTCCGGTCTGTTTTGGAACAGCCTAATATTTAAAAAAATTTTTTGGAGTTAAATGCTTATTGACTGATTTCTTTAACTCAAATGTATTTTTTATTAACAGAGAGCATGACTCACCACAATTAAATTGCAAACTGAACTCCAACGCATCCAATTTATTCTTTAATTTAAACATTATATATATATATATATATATATATATATATATATATATATATATATATATATATATATATATATACTTGTTGGCTTAGTCCCTTTATTAATCCCATAGCAGAATGAACCACCAACTTATCCAGCACGTTTTTACACAGCTGACACCCTTCCAGCCGCAACCCATCTCTGGGAAACATTCATTCAATCATTCATACGCACACTCATAAACTATGGTTTGCAAACATAGTGGGAAATGCACAAAAGCCACTGAGAAAAAACTGTAAATGAAGTATTCAAACAATCATTTGGAAATTCATTTGTATAAAATAAAAATGTCACAAACATATACTTTGTTCTTTCTTTCTTGTTTGCTTTCTTTTTATACAAATTTATCACAATTTTTTGTGTTAGAAATTTGTTAATGTATAAATGTTATTAATGTTTAATACAAACCCATATATATATATATATATATATACATTTATACAACAGTTCTGTCTGGTTCTCACATCTGATTGACTGATAGGTGATAGAACTCCTACAGCCTCTTTACCCTTTGTGTATTTATCTGCCCACATACAGCCAGCAAAAAGCAGACACTACAGATCTAAAGTTTAAAAGATGCACGCTCAACTGTTTAACTGTCAGCTTATGATTTGAATCCGGAAGAAAGTAGTTCCTCATACAAAAGGGTTTTTGAGACTTTCCATGTTTGATTTTGTTTTTATATACACAATTATGCCATCAAACTGTTGTATAATCGCAATATCACACTCGTAGCAGTGCAATGTGGCTGTATATCGGCACTGTTGGGGGCACTAAGCACTAACATTAACGCACGCCCACCAGTGCATGTGGGTGTGCTAACGTGTCTAACTGTGTAACAAAAGATGTGTAGATGTTGGTCATTCAAAATACAGACATATTACCTCTTTAAATTAATAAAATACGGTAGCTTACCGTAAAAATGAGAAATTACTTTTACAGTTTGTACCGTGTTTTTAACTGTAAAGTACTGGCAACCACAGCTGCCTTTTTTTTACCGTAAATTTTACAGATTTATTTTAGTGCAGTCATGAGTTTGATAAGTGGGATAGGAATTCAGTTAAAAGCCTAGATGCAGAGTTCTGTAGGAACAAACCTAGCAATGCATGCATGGCAGAATTAGACCTGTATCCTCTATTCATGCGCATACAGTATAGAAACAAGCTGTCAAATTTTGGAAACACATTAAAATTAGTAACCCTAACTATTATCATTTTAAATCCCTTAAAAAACAAGAAATACACAATGTAAAAAAGCCCCATGATTTAGATGGCCCTGCCATAAAGCTGCAAACACAAACCAACATAGCAAATATGACTAACAGCAGGCAGCATCAGGACAAAGACATGCTCATCCACAGAATTAAGCCCAATCAAATGATAAATGCACCGAAAGAAAAGTATCTGATTTACTGGATTGAAGCAAAAACAAAGTAAACTTAAATGTTATTTAGACCTAAATAGAGATTATACGACAACAACATATCTGAGTGTAGTAAAAGACAGTAAATAAAAAACAACAATGACCAAATTGTGTGCTCACAGTCTGACTGTAGAGACGGGCCGATACACACAAAACTGGCAACCCTGGCAGAGGTGGAGATGGAGGAACATTTCCTCACTCGCTGCACAAACTATCAGCACATCAGAGAAACATTCTACCTTAAACTACAGAGCATTTATCCACAATTCACAGAATTAGACAATAAAACACAGCTTTAGTATTTTCTATAAGAAAAACTGACTGTACCCTTCTAACGGTGCAATACATTAATTCCTGTCACAAAAAAAGAGAGCAGACCAATAAACACATCAGTGATGCACTTGCAAACACACACACACACACACACACACACACACACACACACACACACACACACACACACACACACACACACACACACACACACACACACACACACACACACACACTTAGCATTTAAAAAGCAACTCATGTAAACACCTTAATGTTATTATTGTGTTAATTAGATTGATGCAAATAATTTGGTTACTGATGTCCACGTAAATGTAGTCACTGTCAATCAGAACTGACATGTAATCTCTCTGGGGCCC